ATAAGAAAGGGATTGGCAGTAGTGGGACACTGCCTGGGGACGGAAGAGAGGACACATAACATCAACAAGGGTATCTAAACTTTACCTGTACGATGACCACTTATATGCCTAACCCTGAATTGTATCCCACACCTTAAAAAAAAATTAAAAATAAAGAAGTTAAAAAATTTTAAGCCGGGCTCGGTGGCTCAGCCTGTAATCCCGCACCTTTGGGAGGCTGAGGTGAGTGAATTGCCTGAGCCCGTGGGTTCGAGACCCACCTGGGCAACTTGGCGAGACCTCATCTCTACAATAAATCAAAAATCAGCCGGGTGTGGTAGTGCGCGCCTGTAGTTCCAGCTACTTGGAAGGCTGAGGCGGAATGATCACGGGAGCCCAGCAGGTTGAGGCTGCGGTGACCGGGAGCGGCTACTGCACTCCGGTCTGGGTGACAGAGTGAGACTCCAACTCAAAAAAAAAAAAAAATTTTTTTTTAAAGAAATGTTTTACACAAATGCACTGTGTTTGGGTGAAGACCTCTGTTTTCTTTGCCTAAATTTGTTTCTAAACAGATTTCAACCAGTACATCTCTCTTCAGTCCCTCTATTCTCAAGAGTGTTTAATATATCGCTTCATTTATAATGCCATGCATATATAATGGAGAAGTGTATCTATAAATTGAATGTAAATACTATACTATAAGAATTTTATGCCATTGATCAATATGAGTTGAACAAGTATACAGCTCCACTTATTTCTAAGTGTGAACAAGAGTTCTCTGAGAAGTAATTTAGAGAAAGAGACTTTATTCCAGTGAACAGATTGCAAACTTGGGAGACTCAGCCCTTGGTGTAAACTGAAGGTGCAGTTCCAGAGAACAAAGGCAGGATTTGAAGTTCATAAGGAAAGTTCCTGCCCAGGTTTTTACTCAGGTCCTCTTATGCAAGTGAAGGATTCAAACTAGCTTAGTTCTGATTGGTTGATGTAGGCCACAGCCTATTGGCTGATTCAGGTGACATGGACAAGAACTGTCAGATATGAAAGTTCCAAAGTTAAGCATATGTGTAGCTTTTCTAAGAACTCAGAGTTCATGAGTGACCTCTAGTCCGTAAATGGCCACTTGGCTCTATTTTTGGCTCTATTTTAAATTTAGGCCCAGTTCACCATTCCACTCAGGAATCATCTTGAGGGACTGACTTTTTCAGGTTCACATAAGCCATCTCCTTCTAATAGCATATGCTAAGGAAATATCAATGAATTAATTTGAAAGTCATATTAATGACACACACATTAATACGTTTTTTGTACTTCTTATAAAGGAGGCAGGGAGGAACAGGGAAGGAAATGTGGGGATCATGCCCACATTGTCTTTTATTTTCATCTTGTGGGTTTGCCTCCTGCAAAGCAAGAAATAGGAAGTGGTGAGAAAGAAGTGGGAGTAGTAAGCTATAGTAAACTGTCCTGTTCTTAACTTGGACAGTGGCAACCACCGGTGACTTCATCAGCACAAGTTCCACCCAGGTATCTAAGGTGAGTTGCAAAATGCACAAAGATAAATTTAAAATTAATTCCTCCCTCCCTCTCTCCCTCCCTCCCTCCCTTTCTCCTCTTCCTCCCTGTCTCTACCTTGTTAACACTTACTTTCTTTGCATTTTCTCAGTTTAATGTATTATAGAGCTTATTTAGGGGGATATCTGTGAGGTAAGCTGTCAGGCTTCAGGGTGAGTGTTTTTCTCATTTTCCCCATCCCCTTCTATCTAATTTGCTAGGGGATGAAATAAATTAGCAAAGCAGCACTCCCCTCATCTTACTTTTGGGATTTAACATAGTCCCCATTAAGCTGCTTATTCTATGGAGAATGCATCTCAGTTGGCACAGAGAATCCCCAAATTGCAAGATATCAAATAATAAGAGTTCTTCTGTGATCAAGAATGTAAAACCTGCTAGAAAAAAAAAAGTTCATTAAAGGTAACTATTATGGAAATATATTCTTAGCTGCATTATTTTCTTCTTTTACCATGATTCATTGGGTGCAGACTTCAGTTTTTCTTCATTTATCTCTTCTAGAGATTATAATCAGCATTAGTTGCAAGCATAGTTTTACCAATGTTTGCTTTTAAAATTGCTCAGTGTTTAAGGAGTTCTTTCTGAATGGGGTTGCTAGCCTTTTTCAAGCTGAGTAATCTTTTTTTCTTACTAACTCATATCAGTAAATCTGTTCATAAAAGTAGAAACATTGCTCATCTGTAATAAACATCCCTGGTAGCAGTAGCCATCACTAGAGCAGGGCACTTTAATGGAGATTATTCTATTTTCAGGGTTGCTGACCTTTTGCTTCTTTATTAGTTACTATAGTGATAGTCTGAGCTCTACTTAATAGGGCTTTTCTAAAATAAAGATAATCAATATGCTTTTTAAGGCTAATGTTTATACTGATCATTCCTATTAACACATATCAAAATAAAATTTAATCATATAAATATATTCAATACGGGATTATTCTTACAACGTGTTTAAATAGATGTTTATTTAAATTACAGGAGATTAAATAAATTTTGTGTCTTTTTTTAGAAATCTAGAATATCTCTGTAAGGACATAAAAGATCATTGAGAAATAGACAATAAAATTATTTTATAACAGCAAACTTTAGAAGTTGCAAGTACGTGGTTAATAATTTTTAAAGCAAAGTCAGGTCAGAGGATTCCTTTAGCACTTGTCATAAATATACTCCAGGCCAACCTCTCCTTATATGCCCCTGTGCATCTTCTAAGACTTCAGAGGAATTCTGAAACACTCAGGGGAAGGAAAGTTGGAATCAGTTAAAATTTACCAGGCAAAGTAGTAGAGCAGCACGGATAATGTTCGTTTCCAAAGTTCACTTAACAGTTTTAAATATTTTACTATAGTAGATAGACTATTTTTAGGATTACAGTGAAACTCCCATGAACACCCTTTTGAAGAATGTGATTCTTTTTTCTTTTAGGATTAAATAATAATTGTTTATGAATGATATTCATGTACTTTTCAACACACTGTAAGTAAAGTGAAAGTACATCTAAGGCATTACATTCTCCAACATTGTCAACACAAAGAAGGAAATCTGAGGAATAGCAAAATTCACAAGGCCCATTCTCATTGTCATTTGTTTGGATGCTGAGGCGCATGAGTTATGCTATTGCTTTTCAAGCATGGTCTCTAACCCTGTCTCTGGTCTATGCAGAATCAGCTAGTAGTGGAGCAACTTGCCCAAGGTTCAGGCACGAAGGTGGCAGCCCACAACTGGAGCTGGGCTTCTTTCTCCAGAAGAAACTGGATTCTTCTACTTCTCCATGTTGTTTGAGAACCTAAGTCTCTTCAATTCTGTTCCCATAGTCTACCAGATATATCCTATGATTTATTAAAAACAAAAGTCAGCACTGCAATGGTAGAATGTGGGGATAAAATCAAATTGATGCTGAGGTTGTCTTTAGAGATGGAAAAGGAAATGAACAATGTGTCAGTTTCAAGTGTCAAAATAACTTTTTTGAAAAACAGGAAATTATCTGTCATCATAGATTTTTCATGTATCCCTTTTTTTCTAAATTAAAAAAACATTTCTTAAATGCAAGATGAAGTTTAAGCAAAAAATTTGGCTATATGTGTTTTTAAAATTAGAATCGCAAATTTAATTATATCCTTATGTTACTTAGTTTCAATGATCACATTTAAAAAAAAATAAAAAGACTTGTCTCTTATAGGAACAAAACTACTAGAAATTTTAGTGATTCTGCCATTTAAGAACTATTTACTGATCATCTACTGTGTGTCAGGTACCGTTTTAAACAGTGGGGATATGGTTAGGAACAAAGGCAGATTCCTTCCTCTCACAAAGCTTATGTTCTTTAGAGGGAATTGGATAATAAGTAAATGAGTAAATGATGTGTCAGTTGATAAGAGCTAAGAATTAAAATCAAGCAAGACAAAAGTCTAGAGAGTAAACGGGGAATGGGAAGGAAGTACTATTTTAGGTAGGGTTGTCAGCCAACACCATGATTTTCCACTTGGCATCTTGCATTAGGTTTCTAATTGGTCTCTGCTTTTATTCTTGCTTCTTTAGTATCTATTCACATAGCGGCCACTCAGAATAAAAGTTAGATCATATCTTTTGCCTGCTGAAACCCTGCAATAGCTCTACTTTGAATAAAATTCACAGTCCTTCTCAGTCTACAAGACTCCACATGATGTTTCTTCTTTTGACCTGTCTGACCCCATTTTCTTCTATCTTTTCTCTGGCTACTGCACTCTGGGCACTTGTTCCTGAACACCTCATGTAGACCCTCATGCAAGCACTTACAATGGCTTTCTGTTGAAAACACACTTCCCTGAAAACCAATTGTTGCTTCCTGTTTCATTTGGTATGATTGATACCGCCCCAGAGTGACCTTCTTTGACCACTCTTTCTAGAGTAACTTTCCATCATCATTCTTTATTTCTTTTCCCTGCTTCATTTTTCTTCATAGCACTTATTTTCTCTTGCCTTTGTGTTAAAAATCTGTTTAGTGGGTGTATGAGAACATATGTGCCCCGAGGGCAGTGATTTGGGCTCTTTCCTCACTATTGTTATTTCCAGCACCTGGAATAGGGGCAGCACATTGCAACAGCATGAAATAATTATTTTGGCATGAATGAGTGAATATGCTTTAGATATGCACTGTTGATTAATGAAGGGGACAAATAGTGGACAAAAAAGAGTTTAATGCTTCAGAAGTTTGGGAAAAAAAGTCCCATGTACTAGTGCTTTTCTGCGATCCTAATCCTGTTGCCCATTGTCACCGGCCATAACCATTCCTAGCTTCAGCCTAACCTCAACTCTCTTTCTCTATCTTTGCTTATACCACAGAGAGCCTTTACCAATGAACATAAGTGCATACTGTGTAGCTACATATGTTAGATGTGAAATTTTGGTGACTACATTTCCAATTTCTAAAAATATTTAAAACGGATTGACTTATGGTTGTGTTCTTTCTTTTTTAAACTGCAGCATCACCAAATGCCCCAAAACTTGGACCCATGGAACTGGCTGTCATTATTACTGTGCCCATTTGCCTCCTGTCCATAGCTGCCATGCTGACAATATGGGCATGCCAGGGTCGACAGTGCACCTATAGGAAGAAAAAGAGACCAAATGTGGAGGAACCACTCTCCGAGAGCAATCTGGTAAATGCTGGAAAAACTCTTAAAGATCTGATTTATGATGTGACTGCCTCTGGATCTGGCTCTGGTATGTGCTCATTGTCCATTTTTTAGTAAGAAAACTCTCATTTAAAAGTAAATAAAAACATTTTTAAATAAAAATGAGCCCATATATTATGAATTCATCATAATATAATTTAGAATGCTTAATAGGGCCCATGGTAAGCTCTTATAGAAACTTCTTTTAGGATTTGATGAAGAGAATAAACAGTCATGGCCTAAAGAATTAATTACCTTTTGTAGCATTTGGTGTCAAGATTTTCATTTTCACATTCAGCAGTTTATCTCCTCTCCTCCCTACTATACTCATTATGGTTAGTAATAATAACTGTTATTTTCTTGTACTGTATTACGGACACAGAAGAATTAAGGGTTATGGTATTTAGGGCACTGAGTTCTAAGGAGAAAAAGGTTAGTTATTGCAAAGTAGAGTCCTTTGAGCACTTTTGCTTGTGGTTATGAGGATTTCAGAAACTGCAAGCACTCATGGGATGTGTGAGTCAAGTTAACAGGGAACTGACCCCAAATTAAATCGTGGGTATGTTCTTTTATTTATTATAGGGTTAAATGAAGACTATGTTCTTAAAGCAAAGGAACAGACGATTAAAGGGAGCAGTGCATGCACCATTCCTGTGCTGGCTTTTGCCAGTTAAAGTTCTGTAATAACTCTCCTCCCCTTTAATGGAACTCCATAACTCATGGTGAAGGAAGCAATTCAAAGTACTAGAGTGTATTATGGCTTAAATAAGCCTTTCTCATGGCACAAAGTGTTTGAGGGATTTTGGGGAAGGGAGGGGACCAGTTTTCGCCATAATAACAAGCTCCCTAAAATGGTAGGGGATTCCATGCTCTTACATGTATATTTCCAGAAATCCTGCCAGCAATTGGATTACAGGAATATGAAAAGGGCAAACCTAAATGAACCACTTCAGAACCCTCTGTATCCCTTTTTGTTTTTGGAAGTATCAATAGAATTATAATTCAACATTTTCAAGTAAAATTTAATTTTTATTTTTAATTTTTTTTTTGAGTTGGAGTCTCACTCTGTAGCCCAGACTGGAGTGCAGTGGCCGCTTCCGGCCATCGCAGGCTCGACCTGCTGGGCTCCGGCGATCCTTCTGCCTCAGCCTTCCGAGTAGCCGGAATTACAGGCACGCGCTACCATGCCCGGCTGATTTTTTTTTTTTTATTAATTGTAGAGATGAGGTCTTGCTGCCCAGGCGGGTCTCGAACCCGCGGGCTCAGGCAATCCACTCACCTCAGGCAATCCACTCACCTCAGCCTCCCAAAGGCGCGGGATTACAGGCTGAGCCACCGAGCCCGGCTAAAATTTTATTTTTGTATATTTTAGAGTTGTTAGGTACATGTGAAGATTTGCTACATAAGTAAATTACTTGCAGGTGAGATTTTGGCTTTTTGTTAGCCCTCTCTTCCCCTGGCAGTGGATATGGTACCCAATGAGTGGTTGTGTGCCCCCTTTGCCCTCTCCCTCTCTCCCTTCTTTGGCAGTGTCTGTTCCCATCTTTGCACTCATGTGTCCAATGTTTAGGGCCTGCTTATGAGTGAAAACATGCAGTGTTCAGTTTTTTGTTTTTGTGATAATTCACTTAAAAGTATGGTCTCCAACTGCATCCCTGTTGCTACAAAGGACATGGTTTTGTTTTTCTTTATGGATGTGTTGTATTCCACCATGTATATGTAACACATTTTAAAAATCTAGTCTACTTTTGATGGGCATTGGGTTGGCTCCAGGTTTTTGCTATTGTGAATAGTGTTGCAGTAAACATATTGTATGCAGGTGTCTTTTTGGTAGAGTGATTTATGTTCCTCCAGGAATATTCCCAGAAATGGAATTGCTAGATAGTATGGTGGCTCAATTTTTAGTTCTTTGAGAAAACGCCACACTGCTTTCCACAAAGGCTGAACTAGCTTACATTCCTACCAATAGTGTAGAAGTATTCCCTTTTCTCTGCAGTCTCACCAACACCTGCTATATTTTGACTTTTTAATGAATGATGGTCATCCTGACCAGCATGAGGTGGTATCTCATTGTAGTTTTGATTTGCATTTCTCTGATGATTAGTGAAGTTGAGCTTTTTTGTCAGAAGTTTATTGTATGCTTGATTGTCTTCCTTTGAGAAGTGTCTGTTCATGTCCTTTGCCCACTTTTTAATGAGGTTATCTGTGTTTTTTTTTTTTCCTGTTCATTCATTTGAGTTCCTTATATATCCTGGATGTTAGGTTTTTGTTAGATGTATAGCTTGTAAATACTTCCCCTCATTCTGTGAGTTGTCTCTTCACTGTCTTGATTATTTCTTTTATTGTGCAAAACTTTTTAACTTGATTAGGTCCCATCTATCAATTTTAGATTTTGCTGCATTTGTTTTTGAGGGCTTGGCCATGAATTCATTGCCTACTCTGATGTCCAGGAGGCTGTTCCCTAAGTTTGCTTCTAAGAGTCCTATAGTTTGAGGTTTCACATTTAGTCTTTGATCCATTTTGAGTTTATTTTTATATATGGTGATAGGTAGGTGTTCAGTTTCATTCCTCTGCATGTGTGTAACCCAACATTTTGAAGAACTTCCTTATCAGTGGCCTTCAGGGACTTCCAGGCAGGCATAATTAATGGAAACAAGAAACAGAGGGACAAGAACATCTCTGTAAGAATCACTGTTTATCATGAAGCAGCTTTGCGTTAATCAGAAAAGAGAAGCATGCTGCTTCTGGGACATTATCTGCCCTCTCACTGACCAAAGTCCAAATGTGTTTACCATCGCTGTACACATGGGGTGGCGTGTTTTCAAAGGAGGAATCCGGGAAAGAAAATCTCCAAACTGCAAAGTTTCTAAAACTGGAACCAAATTATTTATTAGTTAGTAGACTGGCATTCTTTTTTTAAAAGTCAAACTTGTTAGGATTCAATACTCTTTCCTTCTTTGAATATTACACTATTCCCTAGTTTCTAGAGCATTTGCAATGTTCTAGGTACAGAGAACTCTGATTTATGGCAAGTTTCTCAAAACCTTATATAGTTTTTTGATAAGGTTTTAATGATTAAATAACTGTCTACTTAATCCCCACCAAAACATTTTAGTTCATCTGAAGTTGTTAGATAGAAATGTGTATTTTGGAACTATCCCTTAAATATATTTAAGATGATCAATGATTTTCCTTTCAAATAAAAGTAATACAGATTTTAAAACTGGAGATTAGATATTTGGTTTGAGAAAGTAGTCATGAGCCAGGAGATAATTTTTTTTTTTTAACAATTGGAAACTTGTTCATGTTTTTATTGGATGGCTCAACAGTTTCTAAATTCTGTGTGTGTTTGGGGGCCACTGTAACCGTTTCTGGGAGAGGGCTCTACTAAGATATATATATTTTTTAATGTTAGCTTTACTTGTGTTCTTATGCATTCTTAAATCTAAATCTGGATTTACTGACTTCTGAACTCTGTCCTTTTTAGATTATTCTCTTATGAAGGTCTCTCATAAAGAGAAAGTATTAAATATGCCCAAAGACAGATGATTTCTTTAAAGACCAATTTGAAAGTGTTTTATTCATTTTTTTCTCCCAAAGCCAGTTGCATGTGTTCAGTGGTGACCACTAAAAGTAACTGATGGCCTCCCTGCCTTTGATAATCAGAGAATGGATCTGTACAAGGCTTCAGTCATAAAAGTTCACCTGTAGGGAAGAAATTGGATGGGTCTGCTTCCCTCTGTTTTTTGTTTTGTTTTGTTTTAATTTCCAGTGACCTTAAATGTAAAGTAAAGCATCTTTTTCAGATGTTGAGAAGCAGAAACTGTGAAGCTTATTTCTGGCTTGGCCAGGGACACATTTTCAAGACGTATAATGCCTGCAAAAAAAGGAAAATGGACTGATATTTTATTAGACTCTTTTGAGAGTAGATTGTGTCTCAGGTGACTTTCAAGTAACTGGACAGGTTGCTGCTTTCTTCTCGTGCTATGACAATTCTGATAGGTGGTGACGTTACTTGAAAGGTACCTTTCCATAAGACAGGCATCAACTTCTACAATTCCTGGTAAAAAGATTAAAATGAACCCACAGGGAGAGAAAAAGTCCATGTATTTTCAAATGAAATGTCTAGGTGTATAACACAAGAATTACTGAGATTCATTTTGGTGATACTGAAGATACTGAAGCAACTTCCATTGAGTTTTACTGTCTCAACTTAATTTGCTATATAGAGTACATCATATGTTATTGTCTTTCTTTTTGTCCCTAATCTGCACAGTTGATTATGTGCATGATCAATTAGCAATTTGAAAATATTCGCTTATCTACTGTTGGTGGTGGTGTTGGCTGTTGTTGGAAATGTTTTTGTAAATGTGTGTGTGTGTACGTAAGACCGTGGGTTGGAGGAGGAAGGGAGAGACTTAGATTGAGATTTGGCCTAATAATTGTTAGAATAAATTTTAGTGTATGATCAAATAACAAAATTGACTGTAAAGTACAAAAACAATCCTTGTTGTTTCCTGATAGAAGTCTTCCCTTCTGGGGAGTACTGCAGTCATATCCTCTATATGGTGACAGAGCAAGAGTTTGAACTGAAGACCAATGTCTTTGTTGTAGTTCTGCCCCTGTTAGCCCCATAACTCTAGGCAAGCCTTTGATTACTGTGGGGCTTCAGTTTTCCCATCTTTAAAATGATTGAGTCGAATAAGATGATTTTAAAAGAACTTTCTGACTGTGGGTTTTTGTGACTCATTATTGAGACTCATAAAATTAATAATCTATGCTTATTTAGCTATAGTGGGTGGTTCTCATGAGGATGAGAACATCTGAATGAACAGTGGCTCATTTTAGGAGCAGGGGCCAAGGCTCCCACAAGCTACAGCTGTATGCCCAACCTTTTTGGCTTCAGGGACCAGTTTCGTGGAAGACAATTTTTCCATGGACTGGGGCTGGGTTTTGGGGTAATTCAAGTACATAACATTTTTTGTGTGCTTTATTTCTATTATTATTACATTGTAATATATAATGAAATAATTATACAACTCACCATAAAAAAAGAGGCACGGATGGAAGTGGTAAATAAAATAATGGGCAGGCTATGCATGGACTAAAATATGTGTCAGGTTCTGACATAAAGCCTGCCACCGGATGCAGCTGTACAATTGAAGTACATCAACTCACTGATAGGGTATGAGTGTGATATGAGTGTGTAAGCAATTGATTTATTATGGTCTCTGTGCAGTCAAACCTTACTGCTAATATTAATCTGTATTTGCAGCCACTCCCAGCGCTAGTATCACTGCCTCAGCTCTACCTCAGATCATCAGGCATTAGATTCTCATAAGTAGTGTGTAGCCTAGTTCCCTTATATGCGCAGTTCACGATGGGTTTTGTGCTCCTGTGAGAATCTAATGCCTTTGCTGATCTGACAGGAAGTGGAGCTCAGGTGGTAATGCGATTAGTGGGGAGCAGCTGTAAATACAGATGAAGCTTCACTGGCTCATCTGTCACTCACTTCCTGCTATGCAGCCCAGATTTTTAACAGGCCATGGGTACCAGTCCCTGGCACAGGGGTTGGGCACCCCTGAGCTACAGGATTGTTGCTATGAGGGATTTTCAGCCATCTGAGTATGAAAATATGACTTTCCAGAAGATAATTATACTTCAATCTCTTTAATTATGTTTTCTCTTATTAGAAGAATAATAAGTAACCATTATGAAAAAAATGTTAAATGTAGAAAATTAGAAAATATATTACAGTTCACTCCAATGCTACCAAATAGAAATAACCATCATAGCACTTAACATTGATATTTTTTATATTTTAAATAGCTAGGTATACTTAGCTATTTACTATGCTATTTTCATTTCATATTCAATATTCATATTATAGCAGAAGCATTTTTCCATGTCATTAAGAAATACCTCTTTTATAAACAGCATTATTATTATTGGCTCAAAGCAATTCATCCCAAGATTACCATAATATTAACCATCATTGAGCGTGTAATATACTAGATACTATGCTAGATGCTTAAGGTGTGCTTATGAATTCTCGTATCATGCTTATGAGATAGGTAGTATTTATTATCCCCAGATTTTCAGATGAGGAAGCTGAAGCTCAGAGGAGTTAAATAATTTGCCCATGGTTACAAGGTGGCAGAGTTGAAATTTGAACCCAGGTCTTTCTTTTCTGTGTTCTTAATCTCCACACTATATGTCACATTTGTTTATTACCTGACACTCTTCCTTATTATTCTATAAGTCATAACAAGGTATTAAACATTTTGACATAAGTTTTTCTGTATTTTGCATTAAATCTTTAGGATAGACTTCTAGAAATGGGGTTATTGGTTCAAATAATGTAAATATTGTACATATACCCAAAATATATATATTTTTGTTCCACAGAAGTATCCATTTGATATTTTCTATGTCTGTGTCTTGCTTTTGGTATAATGTTGTTATCTAATTCGATTATTGAATTTGATTCTTCACCTTTCAATTTTAGCTTGATTTTGAAAAAAACTTTCCGTTATTAATGAATTTGATTCTTCACTTTTCAATTTTAGCTTGATTTTGAAAAAAATCTTTCCATTGGACCAGGAACTATACATTTTATTTTAGAGGTTAACACATTTTTTTGCTTTCACTCTTGTGTATTTAGTAACCTGACTGACTCTGATGGGCAAATGAGGGAGATTTGCCTTGGAAATCAGACATCTGCAGCAACAGGCTATGTTCAAAAATTTTTTACTTGTGAATTGAGAGGAGAAATTCATATTCATAACTTGAAGTATCTTTTGAGCATGCTTTGACATTAAATTAAAGTTTGGTATAATGGTGCTTATTTCTTCAAAAGTGACAAATGTATTAAAGTGTTTAAATGTTTGCTTTTTATATGAAAATAGTGGTTATTATGACAATTTTTTTCCTGACATTTGTTTTTAATCATAAATTCCATCTTTTCTTTGGTTAGGTCTACCCCTGTTGGTTCAAAGAACAATTGCAAGGACAATTGTACTTCAGGAAATAGTAGGAAAAGGTAGATTTGGTGAGGTGTGGCATGGAAGATGGTGTGGGGAAGATGTGGCTGTGAAAATATTCTCCTCCAGAGATGAAAGGTCTTGGTTTCGTGAGGCAGAAATTTATCAGACGGTCATGCTGCGACATGAAAATATCCTTGGTTTCATTGCTGCTGATAACAAAGGTATTTTCAATCTAGTTAGTTTCGGCAGGTAAAAATGTTGTCTATTATTAAATAAGAATAAATAAGTTTATCTTTTTGTTTTAACAAATCCACATGAAAGTCTGATTTCTTTATTGAGGAAAGAAAATTCTTTCCTTTTTTCCACAGATAAATGTACATAACCATACAATGAAGCAAGACAAATGAGTGATAGGAAATCATGATTTTCTGACAGTCAGGCCGGTGCTTAAAATATTTGCTGACTGACGTGTTGCAGGAACCAACCAATAAGAGCAGATTGCCTCAACTGCAGCAGAGGCCTGGAGAACCCTGCCATACTAGGGTTCTCTCTTTAGTTGCTTTTGGGTCATGAACAATCTGGAGGCATTTAAGGGGCAGGGACATTTTTTGTATAGGACAAAGGAGTGTCACTGGGAGTTTTGAATAGTAGCTGTTTACCAGCCAGACTGCAATATTTAAATATTTAAATAACTGATATAGATACCAATGAAAACTAGCTGAATAGTCATCTTTTGCTAGGACTATAATTTTCATCTGTACAACAGGCTTTATCTTCAGTTAAGTTTTCCTTGGACATTATCTTTTTAGATTGTGTTAGAATGACAAGAAGCAAGGCAATTTGGGGGAAATTTTCTTTTAATATTTTTCTGAGCATGATTTATACCTTGAGGTGTAGCATTAACAGTGCCAAACAGTGTTACTTTTTGAGTTTCATGGAGCAAGACAGAGGACCAGCTTTCTGGTGCTTAAAACAAGTACTCATAAAATATTGTGTCTATGCTTGTGGATTATCTATGCTTTCTGTCTTCTTTTTTACAAAGCTTTTACTCACTTCACTGTTTATTATTGCTCCTAACAAGGGGAAATAGAGAACAAAAGTAAGGAAAACTTGATCCAGTCCATTTTTAAATTTTAACTCTAGTCAGTAATATTTATGAAGAAGGAACGTTGGTGAGGTTGAAGTTGTAAACCTCTCCAGAAAAGGATTAAAACAAATCGTCTGTGGATGTCAGGGATCCACCGTGGCCTGTAAAATTTTATTTAAAACTATAGTTAATTTGGTCTAATATAAAAGTTTTTCTTATTAATTCGATTTTAAAAAAGAGAAGCTTAGCATTTATTGTACATTTTGACCATGATCTTTTTTTTTTTTTTTTTTTGAGTTGGAGTCTCACTCTGTCACCCAGGTTGGGTACAGTAGCACTCTCACGACCACCCCAGCATCAACCTGCTGGGCTCCGATGATCCTTCTGTCTCAGCCTTCCAGGTAACTGGAACTACAGGCATGCACTACCACGCCTAGCTAATTTTTTTGATTTTTTGATTGTAGAGATGAGGTCTCACCATGTTGCCAAGGCTGGTCTCAAACCCATGGGCTCAGGCAATCCTTTTGCCCTGGTCTCCTAAAGTGCTGAAATTACAGCTTCAGCTACCATGCCTGGCTGACCATGATTGTTTTTGTTGATGATTTGTCATTTCTGATTTTCTAGGGAGATGTTGAGTAAAGACAAGATGAACTAAAGAAAATATGATTTCCAAATTCTCAACTACATATACTTTGAAACTCTAACCAGAATCTTGAAAATGAGGCATTTCTCATTCAGCTGCTAAGAACTTTTTATTTTCCCTCCTAATTTTGAGTTGAACAACCTATTGGCTAGATTAATTAGCAGTGCTGTCAAAGCAACAATGACTGTACATAGGTCATCTTGAGGAAACTAATATAGTCGTGATATTTTTTAGATTATAAGACAAAATGCCCAAGAGAAATTATCCTTGTTTTTTTTCTTCTTCAGTTTAATAGATCTGTCTGTCTCTGTCATATTCTTGTCAGTGGCTTGTGCATAATTCCCAAAGGTCTCTAACGTCACTTTCATCCTCATGAATTTCTTTACTTTTGTAAATTTTACATTTTAGTCAACTGTCTGACAAAGGCATTGATATGACAGAGCAAGGATAGCCATTGGTGTCAATCAGAGAGGGAGGTATGTATAAGGGTTAGTGTTATAAGTGGCCAGTTCATTAATGAACTTTATGACATTATGTTGACTTTTGCATTTGTATGAAGTTTTATCACAACCAGATTTGGAAATTAAATATTTGGATAACAAAACACTTTTGCACATAAAGCACCTGACAGGAGAGGTTCTTAACAGATGTTCATTGTAGATTCTTTCCCTGAGTGTCAGAACTAGTCAGGACGGCCCGGGATGATTGTAGACATTTTATTCCAAAAGCTAAGGCTAACTCTAGGGATTCTAATACCCAGAGAAGTTTTAGATTAATTTCTTTTCTATTGAAACTCTGTTATAAGCTGGATTAGCTTTTGTCTAAATGAGGTAAATTATTCAAAAATGTCTAGTAATTGTGTTTGGTTCTTATTCTAAGCTTCTGGGGAAAATCATCAACTTCATATTTTGAAAGGTGAATAACATGAACATTTTTAGACTGTTAGAGCTTTTATGTTAGTAATAATACTTTGTGTAAATTTGTTGCATTTCTGATCTGTATTGGTACAATCTTTCTTAAAAGCTCAGAGTAATTTATAACACAACACTGAGCCTAAAACATCTCTCAGTAGTTTCTTCTATATTGTGGTTGCTGTTGCCAGCATGTATTGATATAGAGGGAATATGAAGAGAGTTGTTCAGTTGCTAGAATCACAGCCTCATAACTTTCTATTTCTATGTTGAGTACATATAACAGGTTCTAATACATCAACATCTTCAGGAACACATTGAGAAATTTTCCTTTTCTAATGTACTGTAAGCATCACCACTGAAGGGATTAACGTTGCTTTGTTAACAAGACAGATTAATTAATTTTAAACACTGAATATTGTTAAGATATTTTGACTTATTTCTCAGTATATAGTTATAGCAATAAAATGGTGTTTTCTTGTTAGATAACGGAACTTGGACTCAACTTTGGCTGGTGTCTGAATATCATGAACAGGGCTCATTATATGACTATTTGAATAGAAATATAGTGACAGTGGCTGGAATGATTAAGCTAGCACTTTCAATAGCTAGTGGTCTGGCACACCTTCATATGGAGATTGTTGGTACACAAGGTATGTACTTCTTTTGCATTTTATTCCTCTTTGAATATAAGGACAGAAACACTTAGTCGTATTTTAGTGTTTAGTTGTATTTTAGTTAATTACAGATAATTATCAAATCTAAAGAAACACTAGAGGTAATTTATAAAGCTGAAGGTTTTGTCTTGATATAGCCAACTCTCACTTATGTACTCACCATTTTGTATAGTATCCATAATAATATTTTATACATTTTATTCCTATTGGTTTTATTTTTACCATTTAGTGTATATACCCGAGAGATCTTGTTTTGAGGGCAAATGCTCTATATTCAGAGAATACAAATAATTTAAATGCTTGCCTTTGATAGTTAAAAAACATTGGAAAGGATAATGTGATTTTAAAAAATATTTGTATATCATATACTTGGAGGTCATTGCCTTTTCTATTTATTGAATTAGTTGAGGTTAGCTCTAGAAAGTCATTAGTCTAGACAGGATAGTGGTTCTCAAATTTGGACTTGTGATCTCTTTACACTCTTAAAATTATGAAGGACTCCAACAGTTTTTGTGTATATAGGCTATATTAGGCTATAACTATTTAGCATATTAGAAATTAAAATAATATATTTATTCATTTAATTAAAATAATATTAACCAATTAAATGTTAACATAAATAACATCAATTTTAAATATTTACATCTTTTATAATACAAAAACTGATCTAGTAAAAATACTGGCTTCGTTTTACATTGTTGCAGATATCTTTAATGTCTGGTTTAATGTCTGGATTTTCATACCTGTTCTTCATTGTCTGTTCCTATATTCCCATATGTTGTTTTGGTTGAAATATGTGAAGAAAAGATGGTGTCACACAGATATGTAGTTAGAAAAGAGTTTTAAGTACCCTCAGGAGTCCTTGGGCCAAAATTGAGATCTTCTGGTTTAGGATAGTAGATGTTTCAGAGACATCTACTTGTTTTGTAAGATAATATTTGCCACAATCCTGTGCACACATAGCAATGTTAATTCTTTCCCCATCTATTATAAATATTTATTAGTGAGTTCTTTTTTATTATTTTTTCAGTTAGTGAGTTCTAAATGTCATTAGTGTTCTAAGCATTAGCAGTATGGTGATAAACAAGACAGTTACTCCCCTCATTCTACTTATAGTTTAGTTGGGTGAGACAGGTCATTAAATGTGCACATGAATAAAAACAAGACAATTTAGAGTTAAGTCTTTAAAATGGCTTAAAGTGAATTAGTCTTCAGTTAAAAAAATGAATGTTCTTTTTTTATGCTTCATAGGTAAACCTGCTATTGCTCATCGAGATATAAAATCAAAGAATATTTTAGTGAAAAAATGTGAAACTTGTGCCATAGCAGATTTAGGATTGGCTGTGAAACATGATTCTGTATTGAACACTATCGACATACCTCAGAATCCTAAAGTGGGAACCAAGAGGTAAGATGACTTACTTTGGTAACATACTTAGACATATGGTTACTCAATAATCACGAATGTCCCCATGTGTGTGGGGGGCCCAAATACAAATGGGAAATCATTAGGCCCAAGAAATCAAGAAGTCTTCTCTGGGTCACTGAGAAGTCAGTGGGTACAATGGTTGTAAAGCAAGGAGAGTTGGCATTTGGGGTCATAAGAACAGTAGCCATTTAGGTGCAGAGTACAATAAAGAGAAATGGTGGAAGAGATAGTGATAAATTATTTTTACTGTGCCACATTCTGAGAACGCATTTTCCTAAAGATAAGAAAAAATGTCAGCAATGTGTAGCTTTTCTTAAACCTTTATATCTCATAAATGAATTGAAACTCAGGGCTTGTTCAACATGTTCAAGTTCTAAACTGGAGATACAGATTCAATATATTAGAATAGATGGATAGAGACCCTATAATTAATATGCTTATGTGCTATTATACTTCCTTAATCTTTAAAAGTATTATGAAATTGTTAGGTCTCGGTGGAACCTCCAAAAATGTTAGGGTAACACCCCCAGTGGAGGCTCTAGAATGTTAGGTCAGGCCCACTGGGGGTGTGAGTGTCTGGTGTGTGATCCGATGCTGCATGAAAGATGCAAAAAATTGCACAGAAGTTAGATTAGAGAATATGGTTTATTAAGAAAGTAAATTAGAGAGAGAGAGAAAGAGGAGATTCACCCCAAGGTAGGGGAGGGCCCAAAGCTTAAGAAAACATGGCCTGGCCATAGTTCAAAGAGCACATGGCCACACCATAGCTTAGCAAGGCAATGGCCACAGTGGTCTGGCAATGGTTACTGGTTGCTCATGATTGAGTTCTTTTAATCGTTCCCTTTGATAAGGGAAGGTCATTAAGGTGATTGAATGGTGGTCTGCTCCACGTCATCATGAAGGGGTAGGTAAGCACAGGTACTGACATCAGGTGATAGCAGGCAGATGGGTGGGTTAGTCACATGACTACTGCCATGGTGGTGGGATCTGTCTGTGTCATGAAGGTCAGGAAGGGCTGATTAGGTTAACTTGTGTCTTAAGAGTGGAGGCAAATACTTGAAATAGAAAAAGTGCATTAGTACAAAACAAGCTGGGGAGAAGGGTTGTAAAACAATTATCAATAGCCACCTCTGAGAAACCTATTCTGTTCTTGACTAGTGATTAGAGGGTAAGTAAGTGAACCACTAGAAAAGCAGGAGATTTAGACAATGTTAAATGACTGCCCATTGGGTATGTTAAATTCATGTTATGTTCTTTTAGTAATAATTTATGTGTGACCTATAATTGTACTTATCCTTAAGTCTCCCAAATTTGATATGTATTAAGAAAATATGTGTTTGGACATAATTTCCACCTCCAAGGAACAGAATTTCTGAAGGTTAAGAACAAGTATGATGTAAACGGAACATACCGCACATGTGTCTGGGCAGGCTTATTAGTAATGGGGTTTCTGGTATTTTTCTTTTTATAGCCAGACTGTGGCCATATGGCCAGCCTACTTCCATTTCCTTTTATTTGAGTTTCAGTCTCTATGTTACTTGGGCATAATTCCAGGGTTCTTCACCTTGAAATCAGAAACAGCCAAAATATTTTCCTGGAGTTGTTAAAGGCCCTTGAGTGTAGAGAAATTCTTCATTGACCTCCAAGCTGTATTTGAGATTCCAGGACAGTGTCTATGAGTGCTGCCCTTGGTTCCCTAGGAGACTTTAATGAGGCCCAAGGAACACTTCAGGGCAGTTTATTCAGAGCAGGTGGCCCTAAGGGATGTTCCTTCTTTCCCCCATAAAATAAAGCCTTTACTTGCCATCTGCCTGTCTCCACATCGGGGACCTTCAGGGAAGCCTTGGATGCTGGATTCCTTCAGAAGATCTAATACTTCTAAAAGACCTTGGGGGAGGATCTTGCATTTTCACTTCTGTATTCTTGGAAATCTCCAAAATCTCCCTAGGACAGCTAGGCTCAGTAAGATCCCAAAGACTGTAGATTTCTTCCATACAGTCGATCTGTCTTGGAGCCAATGTATAATGTATCTGTTCATTCAGAGAAGGTATTTGTGGAATGCTGCTAAACAGGAGTCTTGAGCTCACCATGATGACTAAAACACACTCTGCCCTCAAGGAACTTTCCACGTGAGAAAAAATCTACTGGTGAGAATTGAGTTCCTGCTCTTCCAAGTACTAGGTTCCTGGCACACCTACTTTAACACTGAGTGGAAAGACCTCTAGTTCTATTTAAAATGTTTCAAAATTGATGGTAGGGTAAATAACTGTATTATTTAATTTTATTCTATTAGTGATTCAGATCTACCGTTAAGCTGGATATAGGCCATCTTAATTTTTAGTTTGTATCAGGATTTATTAAGATCGTGTTTTGCTGAACTGCTATAAAGTCATACACAGAATCTGAAATGTAGGTGTTTTTGAAGGTATATGGCTCCAGAAATGCTTGACGATACAATGAATGTGAATATCTTTGAGTCCTTCAAACGAGCTGACATCTATTCTGTTGGTCTGGTTTACTGGGAAATAGCCCGAAGATGTACAGTTGGAGGTAAGATTTTGGGAATATTCTTTGTGTCTGCCTATACTTGGTGCTCAACATGTGATTTTCTTTTCTTCTTTTCTAAGCACTATATTGAGTCACTTGTAAATATTTATAATAATATCTTTTGGCAATATTTTTCTGGTGGCTAAAGTGGAAAATCCTGCATATGATGGAGATTTTATATTGTGATAACTACTTATGTAGGGGTGACAGTTTTCCTGATAATTCTTATTTCCCTTATGATGCTTTATGAAGCACTTGAAAATTATCTTGAGTTTGTAAGCAATTAGCTGCTATCCCTGCTTTATATCCTAAAAAAGGTAACTGACTTGCTAAGGCCACAGGACTTACTGTCTTTGTTTTCTTAGACTTTCCTTATCCTTCTCTTTCCTGTGATAGAATGAATGTAGACGAGGATAAAGTGGTGATGATAGGTAAGCAAAGACAAACTTCCTGACTGCAGCTCCTAGAAGTTTAGAACTTAGTAAAGAGAGGAAGAATTTGGGAGGCTGAAACTCTACAGATACAGTCTGATGAAGCTGTTGCATCAATGAAGAAAAAGTTGAATGTTGGTAGAAAGTGGTTTAGAGTTTTCACTTTTAGGGAAATAGATTTAAGATGAAGCCTTGGTCTAGCAACTCCTTGAATGTTTGACTTTAGGCAAGTTATTTAGTCTCACTTTCCTCATCTATAAAAGAAGATAATAAAACTGACCCCTTGGGCTTTGAGGATTTAATGAATTAATTTGTGTGAAGCTTTTAGTACAGAGTCTGCTCACAGTAAATATGCAATTAAAATGCTGTCATTATTAAACTGCTGTCCTTTTTTCTTTTTTGCATTTTGTAGTGATGTCATTTTGCATTACACTAATCTCATTTTAAAACTTGCAGATTTTATGAAAAGCTTATACAGTTAAAATTATATTTGAATGAGAAAACATACTTTTATCTTTTATTCATGGATGATATAGTAAAACATTCAGGAAGCTGAAACTATTTATAGAAGCGGTAGAATTATGTGCAGAACATGGACAATAGAATCCCTGAGCCTGGGTTTGAATTCCAGATCTGCCACTTACTAGCTGTATGTTCTTGAGCAAATTCACAGCACTCTGTACCTCAGGTTCCTTATTCATAAGGTAGAAATATTATGGTACTTTCTTTAATCAATGGTTTTGAGGAATAATTAGTTAAAATATTTAAAGGCCTTAGGACAATGCCTGGTAAACAGCGAGATTCAAGCATGTTCACTATTTTTTTAAAAAATTGCATATTAATGCTAGTATAGATTTGGTTTTAAGTTTTTGACCTTACATTTTCTTCAACTGTAAACATTTATTTAACATAATTTATAGTTAGTTTGCTAATATTATGGCATGTCTTAAAATATTTAAATTAAAAGAGCTTCAGCTAATAATATTTTGTAAAAAAATTCTTTTAATTCAAGTAATATTCTGATAATTAGGTTATCTTTTTCTCTGTATTTGAGACTCTTTAAGTATTAACCTTCATGTTGAGCTTTTCATCATTAACTACCTTTGATTGCTCCTTCAGAACATTCTAAGGTGTAACGCCTAAATGTAAGAAATTCACCTTTTAAAAGATTGCCCAAAATTTTTCAAAGAGAGAAAGCTATTTTTGTTTTGAAAAAGTTATCTGAAGCCGGCCTCGGTGGCTCAGCCTGTAATCCCACGCCTTTGGGAGGCTGAGGTGAGTGGATTGCCTGAGCCAGCAGGTTCGAGACCCACCTGGGCAGGCAAGACCTCGTCTCTACAATAAATCAAAAAATTAGCTGGCTACTGTAATTCTGCGCCTGTAATTCTGGCTACTTGGAAGGCTGAGGCGGAAGGATCGCCAGAGCCCAGCAGGTTGAGGCTGCGGTGACCGGAAGCGGCCACTACACTCCAGTCTGGGCGACGGAGTAAGACTCTGACTAAAAAAAAAAAAAAAAAAAAGAAAAAGTTGTCTGATGAGGAAATATACATACTTCATTCACAAAGCATTGAGGTGTGTTAAAATTTTATAATCAGGAGAAAATAGACATTAAGATTGCATAATAGCATTTTAATCAAATAAAAATTTACATAATTATTTTGATAATAGCAACAAATATATTTATATAATTATAGAATTATATAAATGATACATAATTTTTATGCTATATAATTTAATATAATTATGTATTATAAAAATATGTAAAGTTTATACAGTTATGAAAATTGTTATATGAAATTTTATAATTTTATATAGCTGCTCATCTAAGTGCTTTAAAGTGATATTCTTGGTTTTATTATTTTAATAAACCAGACTTTCCAGTGTCCTGGTGTGTCACTTGTACCTAGAAAACTTAATTGTTTTTATTTTGAAGTAGACATTTATTTATTATTTACACAGGGAAATGTATTATGCAAATTTCTTGTAGGAATTGTCGAGGAGTACCAATTGCCTTATTATGACATGGTGCCTTCAGATCCCTCCATAGAAGAAATGAGGAAGGTTGTTTGTGAACAGAAGTTCCGACCAAGTATCCCAAACCAGTGGCAAAGCTGTGAAGTAAGGCTATGTTTTTATGTATATTTTTCTTATGATAGCTTTGAGGTGAGTATCAGGGAGAATTTTTAGAGACCCTATAGTTTTTCTTTCTTAATGTAGGCAACCAGTATATTCCATGTAAGTTGGTATGTGTCTTTTTATAAGTCTTCAGAAGGATTTTATTCCCTTTAGCTGCCTGTATGCCTAATGTTAGGTTATGTGACAGTAGTCAATCCTGAAATTGCAGTGACTTTATACAACAGGACCTTTATTTCTTGCTTACACAAAGTCCTCTACAAACTAGGCAACACTCCATGGCATATGGTCTCACTGTGGTGACTTAGTACTTCAGGTGACTGGTTCTTGCATGCTGCCATCACCACACGGTTTCCAGGTCTCTAGGTCAGGAGAATAGAGAAGATGGAGAATCACATACTGGCTCTTTAATGCTTTGGCACCAGGTGACACACATCACTTCCACTCATGGCTCATACTAGAACTTGTCAGGTAGTCCCATTAAACTGTAAGGAGACTGGGAACTGTGAGGCACATGGGCAGATTCAGTGACTAGTTCATGTCTCTGCCACACAGAATATTACAGTTCTAGTCATTCTCATATTCAACAAAGAATTCCTAATCTCTAACCTGGTGAAGGGTGAACTTATTTTCCTTCATCAGAAAAGCTCCCTCCTGGCAGAGATATGGTTCTTTATCTTGTTATCTTTGGTAATTCAATATGTTAACCATAGCAGTCATATAATAAATGGTTATTGTAATGTTTGTTCTGCCTTACAAGATGATAAAGATTGTTTCAACTTCCACAGGTAAAAAGAAAGGAAGGTAGGGAAAACACAATAAACTAGTTCCAGAACTGTCCTGATACATTAATCTTTCCTGTTCCAGTTATTGTTTATTTTCTGCCATATTTAAATGTAATGAATAAGGTTTTGTTTAGGTGACATCTTGTAGTTGTGCTTGTTAAAGGGAGTATTTTATATAGTTACCTTTTGCCTAATGCTTTACTATTGCTTCATGTGTTTCGCCTCTTTTTCTACTTAAGGCAAGTTTGTATCTTGGTGTTTCTATATTTTGTGTAGATATCTTGCCTACATACTTATTTAAGAAGCACATTTTGAGGTATTTATAAACTAATGGAAATTAAACTAAATGTTTTATAATATTTATAATATAAATAACTTCATTTATAATATTACCATATGTATTTTTTCAGGATATATAACTGTATCCTGAAAATACATAGGTATATAAAAATATATAAATATATCATGAAGAAAATATATTGCTTACTTTTGCATATTTTTGAAACATATAATTGAAACTTACTGTAGAAATTTTTTCAGAAGCTTTTCACTTTTTATATTTATGTTGCTATAATCTGTTCATTTTCATTGTTGTATAGTATTCCATTATATGGATATACACAATTCCTTTTTTCACTCTACTGTTGATTGTCATGTGTGATTTTTAATTTTTAAAAACAATGCTACTATATAAATATATATGTGTAAAAGTTTCTTTAGGTATAAAACATTTTGCAATGTCCACATAAACAGTCATATCTCTAAATAATGAGAGTTCTGGGGCCAATCCTTATGCCTTTTCTTTTTTTTTTTCTTATTGCAGTTTCTAGAACTTCTAGTATAATGTTGCCTGAAAGTGGTGACAGTGGGCATCTCTATTTTGTTCCTTAAAGCATTTTATGTTTTTCCTTTGAGTATGATATCTACTATAGGTCTTTTTTGTGTGTGTGTAAAATCTTAAATTATGTTAAATAAAAATTGACTTCAGTGTTAGTAAAAGTTTGCTTTCCATCTATGGGTTGATGATATCACATTTCTGCTTTAGTTTTTAATGCAATGTATTTGTAGATTTTCCATTGTTAAACTGTCATGCATTTTTGGAACAGACACAGCATCATCATTGTATATGTGATCAATTTTGTGCATTTCTGATATCTGAATTCTTTGTCTAATACTTTACTTCTGTCTTGTTTTATGTTAATCCCTTATATTAGACATTGGCTTGTTTTATACCATCAATGTTTATTTAAACTTATTCACATTTATAATTTTTTTTGCTTAACATTTCTTCTTGCTTCTCAGAGCTTCCCTTTCAGATCATTTTCTGACTTACTTGTATGCATTCTTTAAAAGTATTTTATCATATTTTTAGTGAGCGCCTTGTGGTTATAAGTTCTTTCAGTTTTGAGATGTCTAAAAATGTCTTTATTTTGTCCTCCACCTTGAACAAATAGTTCGTTTAGGCATATAAATTTAGGTTAACAGTTATTTTCTCTAAACACCTTGAAGTTATTTTTCACTGTCATCTAGTTTCCATTATTGCTATTGAGAAGTCAGCAAATAATCAAAGTTTTATTTCTGTTTAGTTAATTTTTCTTTATAACTACTTTTTTTTTTTTGAGTTGGAGTCTCACTCTGTCACCTAGACTGGAGTGCAGTGGCCGCTCCCGGCCACCGCAGCCTCGACCTTCTGGGCTCTGGTGATCCTTCCACCTCAGCCTTCCAAGTAGCCGGAATTACAGGCATGCACTACCACACCCGGCTGGTTTTTTGATTTATTATAGAGATGAGGTCTCGCTGCCCAGGCGGGTCTCGAACCCACAGGCTCAGGCAATCCACTCACCTCAGCCTCCCAAAGGCGCGGGATTACAGGCTGAGCCACCGAGCCCGGCTCTCTATAACTACTTTTAAGAACTTCTCTTCATCATTGGCATTTTACAGTTTCTCTATGATGTTTTTGGTGTCTATGTCTCTTTGTTAATCTTGCTTGGAATTTTTGGACTTTCCAATTCTAATGGTTTGTAACTTACCTCAGTTCTGGAAACTTCTGAGACATTTTCTTTATATAATTCCTTCTCTCGTTGTCTCTATTACCCATTTTTGGAGAACTCATTAGAAGCATGTTAGATCTTTCATTTTACTGTGCTTGTTTTTTATGAACTCATATTTTCCATCTTTGTGTCTTTATGCTTTATCTCTCCGATTTATTTTTCAGTTCTTTAATTCTGTCTTCAGATGTGCCTAATCTGTCATTTAATTCATCTGATGAGTTCTCTATTTTATTTTTTTTAAGTTTAGAATCATGCAGTGCATGTGAAGGTTTGTTATATAGGGATGTTGCATAAAGTTGAGATTTCAACTTCTGATGAGCATCCCCCCCACTCCCCAGCAAGACACCCCGAGTTCCCTATTTTGATTATGTTTTTCATATCTAGATGTTTTATTGGTACATTTTTCTTTTTAAAAATACTCTTGTTTTTAGCCAGGCTCAGTGGCTCAGCCTGTAATCCTGTGCCTTTGGGAGGCTGAGTTGAGTGGATTGCCTGAGCCCGCGGGTTCGAGACCCGCCTGGGCAGTGAGACCTCATCTCTACAATAAATCAAAAAATCAGCTAGGCGTGGTAGCACATGCCTGTAATTCCGGCTACTTGGACGCTGAGCGGAATGATCACCGGAGCCCAGCAGTC